ATGGCTGTTGCCACCATCATCCCCATGGCTGTTGCCACCATCCATCCCCATGGCTGTTGCCCACCATCATCCCCATGGCTGTTGCCACCATCATCCCCATGGGTATCGGCTGCGGAAAGCGGCATGTGCGACCACCACGACCCGCCACCACCGACCACGCGACCCCCCCCCCCCCCCCCCCCCCACCCCCCACCCCCTCCTCTCCCCCTTCCCCTTCATCCACACCTATCTCTCCCTCGCAAGCACAGCATGCGCATTGTCCTTGCCCTTGCTGTGGCTGCTGTGCTCCTTGCATCTGCTGCCTCTGCTGCCCCTACCGAGGACCTTGTCCCCGTACGTCCCCTCCCTCGCCTTGCGCACGTGACCTACGGGTATGCCCATGGGGCGGAGGGAGAGGGGAGGAGGAGGGAGGACATGACCCCGCGGGACCCGCTCTCTCTCTCTCTATCTCGCCTCTCCCTCCTCCCCTCCCTCCTCCCCCTCCCCTCCCCTGCCTCCGTCACCACCATACCCGTTCCCCAACCGCCATACCCATAACCACAGTCACGGCCATGGCCACAGCTCACTGACTCCCCTCCCCCCCCCCCTCCCCTCCCCCCCTCTCCCTGCAGATCACACCGGGCTTTGGCAAGACCTCGTTCAAGACGTACTCGGGCTATCTCGACCTTGCCAACGGCCACCACTACCACTACATGTTCGCCGAGTCGCAGCGCTCGCCCGAGAAGGACCCGGTTGTCATCTTTCAGAACGGCGGCCCGGGCTCGAGCTCGCTCATCTTCTTCTACACCGAGGGCGGCCCGCTCAACACCAACATCCACTCGCTGGCCTCCAACACCTCGGGCGTGCCGACTCTGTTTGCCAACCCATACGCGTGGAACACCGTCGCCAACGTGCTCGTCATCGAGTCGCCGGCCACCGTCGGCTTCTCGTACTGCGACACTCCGTGCTCGTTCAACGACACCTCGACTGCCATCGACAACTACCACGCCGTCCTCAAGTTCTTTGAAAAGTTCCCCGAATTTGTCGCCAACGACTTTTACGTGACCGGCGAGTCGTACGCCGGCGTCTACGGCATCATGCTCGCCGACCTCATCGACAAGAACTCGAACAACATCAATCTCAAGGGCATCGCCCTCGCTGACGGCTGCATCGGCCTCGAGATCGGCACCTGCTCGCCGCAGGCCATGCGCATCCAGTCCGAGACCCTGGCCGCCTTCCACATGATGTCGCCGCTGACATTTGCCGAGATGAAGGCCGTCTGCACCGACTGGGCTGCACCCAACACCCAGTGCTCCGCTCTCATCGACCGCATGAATGACGAGGCTGGAAACTTCTTCATCTACAACGTTCTCGACAACTGCGCCAACACTCAGCTCTCTCTCAACGACCGCTACGATGTCGTCGAGTCGGGCGCCCGCATCGACCGCATGTGGCACGACAAGCGCTGGAACAAGCACGCCCTCGCTGGCGACGACTGGGAGTGGCGCGCTTCCATCGACGTCTACGGCATCCACGACGCCGAGCGCGCCGCCGTCGCTGCCCGCGTCGCAGAGCTCCGCGCCGCTGGAAACCTCGGCCAGCCGGGCACCTACATTTGCGGCGCCGAGACCGCCATGGCTGCATACCTCAAGAACCCTGACGTCCTCAAGGCTCTCCACATCCGCACCGACGTCCACCGCTACCCGTTCCAGTACAGCCGCACCGCCATGGACCTTCGCCCGGTCTATGCCGACCTCGCCACCAAGTACCGCGTCCTCATCCAGTCCGGCATGGAGGACGACTGCGTCCCTTTCTCGGGCTCGTGGGAGTGGACCGCTGGGCTCGGCTTTGACACCGTCAAGTCGTGGACTCCCTGGTACTACGAGAACATCTACGGCTCCGTCCTCGGTGGCTACAAGGTCAACTACAGCCATGACTTTACTTTTGCCTCGGTCATGAGCGCCGGCCACATGATCCCCCAGTTTGCCGCCCAGGCCTCGCTCTCCATGATGGAGCGCTGGCTCGACGGCGAGCCCATCTAACCCTTAACGGTACGGTCGTTCGGACGCGTTGTCGCGCGTCTCAAAGTGAACAAATCCATGATGCTTGATTTCCAGGCTACCGGCAGACGGTGCGCGACGCCTGCTTGGCCTGCGGCTTGAGGTGGGAGGCGCGCCCGCACGTGATGGCGGCCGAGCCTACGCCCCGCCGTAGCTCGCGTGGCTTTTCTCTACGACATCATCGACGCCCTCGCCGCCAGCCCCGACGCCGTCAGCTCCGCGACGTCGCGCAAGTGGAAGCGTCCCTCTGCAGCGGCTGCTTATCATCACCACCTTCGCCAACAAGCCGCTCTGCAACGCGACTGCCTCGCATGCCGGAAGCTTCATGGTAAGCGATCGAACGCGGCCGCGGACCTTTTGCGCCGCGTGCGGCGTCCATCTCTGCATCGCCGACTGTTTTCTGTTGTGGCAGCCATTAACACATTGTACTACTTTTGTACAACAATTCACGGACGTTGCGACGTCTGTGGAGCGTCGCGGAGCGCGGCTTGCCGCGATGGACAAAAGTGTCCATTCCGAAAAGGGCTAAGGAGCGCCCGACCAACTTTGGCAGCCAAAGCGTAAAATTTTATCCGCGCAGCCTGCCACGCCGCTCCGCCGGAGCTGCACGCCTCACTGCGGTTATTCCCGCACCAGAACGTCTTCCGCAGAACTAGCCGTTGCCACGGGCACACGTAACTACTTCCTCGTGCTCATCCTCTCTCTCTGCTCTGCCTCGCCGTCATGAACGCATCTGCGCTTCCCGCCGAGCTCTTCCACCACATCGCCTACTCGACGCGGTCCGCCGTGCTCTCCGCTGCTGACGTTGTGGCCTGGGCGCGGACCTCGCGCCGCGCACACCGCTGCCTCTTGGGCGACGAGTTTTCAAGGAACAAAGCCCGCGCGCTCTGCGGTCCGGCTTGGTGCGCCGTGCGTCGGTTCTGGCGCGCCGCGCAGATGGCCGTTCCACCCGCCGATGTCGTCGAGGCTGCCCGTGCCCTCGCCCTCGCCCTCGCCGCGCCGCCATCGGCCGTCGCCTCCCACTCCGTCTGGGGCCAGCTAGTGGCCCAGCTCTTGGCGCGCTCGGATGTCGTCGCCGCTCGTGTGCCCGGCCTCGATCCGCCGCTCGTCGCCGCAGCCCGCGCCGATCACCAGCGCATCGTCGCTGCCCTCCTCGCCCACGCCGACGTCGATCCCATGGAGGGCGAGAACGCAGCAGTCCGGGCGGCTTCCAGTGCCAATGCCGTCGCCTCACTCGCCCTGCTCCTTGCCGACCGGCGAGTTGACCCGAGCGACGCCGACAACGCTGCGGTTGTCGCCGCTGCCGCCGCGGATGCTGTCGACGCCCTCGCCCTCCTTCTCGCCCACGAGGCTGTCGATCCGGCCACCGGCGACAATGCGCCGGTGCTGGCTGCCGCCACTGCCGGCCATGCCCGCGCGCTTGCCCTCCTCCTCACCCACGCCGCCATTGTACCGGGCGCGCCTTCCCTCGACGCCGCTGTCGACGCCGGCCAGCACGCCTGCGTCTCCCTCCTCCTCAACCACCCGGCCATCCAGCCGGCCGCCGGCAACAACCGCGCACTCCGCATCGCCCTCTCTCACTCCGACACTGCCATCGTCTGCCTTCTCCTCGCCCACCCCGATGTCGTCGTCGCCGGCCCACCTGAGCAGCTCCCCGACGACTCGCCACTCTTTATCCCAGCACCTCATCCCGATGATATGACGACGACCATGCCAGCGACCACGAGCTGGAGCCGCTGTAGGTACCTCCTTTCAGCCGCCATGGGCACACGTAAACTATCTCACAGCCACGCGTGCGACTATGAGCAGATCTCCGATGTCGACCTCCTTCGACTACTCGAATGCAGCGAGGCTCCCATCACTTACGCCAGCTCGCTGCTCGCTGCACGCCGCCTCTACTTGTTTTTCGCCGCGTATTTGCTCCATCACAAGCCCCGATCGGCTCTGCTTCCTTTCACTCTGCGCACGATTTGCGTTCCGTTTTCCATGGCTGTAGCATGGGCCATACCTGGCTGGCATGGTCGCGACCCGGCATGGCAGGGAAACAATACTATTTCCCAAAAACGGGAACGAGTGGAAGAAGAGTGTGACGTCGGCCGAGCCATAGAAGCACGAGTCGCAGTTCTCCTTGGTGGGGCTCAGGTAGTCACACTGCTCTCGCATCTCGACAAGCACTGTCCATCATGTCCCACACCACGTCGAGCGCTGACTATGCCACTCTCTGCCATGAGGCCAACGAGTACGCGGACATCATGACCGAGATCACAGAGCTAGCAGCGGCTGTGGCCGTCGGCGCTCCAGCCGACCGCGTGATCGCTCTCCTCGCGCAGGTGGTTGATCGTGGAGGTGCTGGCACCTGCAACCGGCTGCGAGTGCAGCTCAGCTCTACAGGCTGTGCCGAGGCTGTTGCTTGGACCACAGCATCGTGCGCCAACCTCGCCGCCGAAGTCGAGGACATGCGTGCCCGCGAGCGCGACTTCTGCGAGGAGATCCACCGCCTCCGCACCGAGTTGGCCGAGGCCGAGGCGATGCAGAACGACTGCATCAACTGTGGCATCTTGCAGACCGAGATCGATCAGCTCGAGTCGAAGCTTGTCGAGCAGCAGCAGATCCTCCGTGCCACCCTTGCCGACCGCACGTAAATCACCCTTGTTTTCCAAAGCGATGATGGCTATGCTAGCCACCAACCGAGCCATCAGACTGGCCACCGCCCCACAGCTCCCATACCGCATCACATCGCTCTTGTCAGTGGCTATCCTCAACATGCCAGGAGAACGGAAGTTACACATGGCCACATTCCTAGCTGCCGCACCACCGAGCGAGGTCGATTCTGGCGACGTCAGTTTTTCTCTCGGCACGCGTCTCCGTTTTGGTCAGCTTTACCAAGAACGCAAGAAGCGGCAAGCTCAGACCGAGAGGCCCATGAACAACAGGCAGAGCATTAAGAGAAGTGGGGGCAAGGGCAAGGACAAGGGCAAGGGCTGGGCCAATGGCAAGGGTGGGGGGACCCGCAGTGGCTCGATGCGGTCGGATGATCGGTCGACTGGAACTGAGGGCAGTTTCGTTTTCGGCAACGGCAGCGGCAACGGCAACGGCGACGGCAAGCGCAAGCACAACAAGACAAAGCAGAGCAACCATGGCCACGGTCGCGGTGGTGGTCGTGGCCGTGGCCGCAGCCGAGACCGTGGTCGCGGCAATGGTCGTGGTCGTGGTCGCCGTGGCGGCGGCGGTCGCGGTCGAGGTCGTGGTCACGGTCGTGGTCACGGCAAGGGCGCAGCAGACAATCCCGAAGCAGAGGAGAGGGAGGCCACTCACACCGATATGCTTTGGAAGCTCAAGAAGGTGGGGAAGACTGGGTGGTGTGCCCATCGCCTCATCGATGCCCTGGTCGGAGTGACAGCCAAAGCGGTGAAGTCCCGGTCAGGCGTTGGTGTTCTGGAGGACGTCATTGGGGACAAAGTGAGCATGTCGTCGTTCAAGAAGCTGATCACCGCCGACCTCTCGAGCATGGCTGTCGAAAGCATCGGCCGCTTTCTTGACGTCATCTTTGGCTCGAGTATTTCTCGCATCATACGGTCGAATGTCAAGGCCGACATTGTCCTTGCCGTCGCTCATGGCGTCTTCTTCCGCAACATCAAGGTGCTCGGGGCCATGAGAAGCATCGACGAGTGCGCGCTTCGTGGTCTTGTTCGGGCAGCCTATGCCATGGTGATGGCTGCCGATCCAAAGACCGGTAACTACAGTCTCGGGGGGGCAGACGCCGTTGTTCCCTGTGAGGTCTCTGACCTCCTTGCGGCTCTTGGCGCCCAAACTGCCGTTATGTCCGGGGATCTCTCGCATGAGACGCAGTGTGCACTGGACGACCTGGTGAATCTGGTGCGGCATCAGCCGAGCACTGTGTCGGCATCGGGTAGGGGCGCGACACGACCGCGTCCGCCACAGTCCCGCCGGCAGCTGCCGCGCGTGGCCAAGCTGCCTGGTGAGATGGCTGCCACAGGTGCGCGGTTCCGCAACGATCGGGCTGACTATCGGTGCATCGAGGTCGCGCCGCAGCTTGCTGAGCTCGCCTACACCGGCACGGATCTAGCTCTTCCGTTTCGTCCGCATCCGTCGACCGCTGCGGACCTTCCGCTCGCAGCTTTTCGTGAGCTCGACCCGGGCGAGGCGCAGAGCATGCTCCACATCGAGACGCCGCGCTCGCTTGATGACGACGGTTACCGGCTTGAGGGCTTACTCGATCTCAACTTTCGGCTCATGCGGCACGACATGCTCGAGCCGATGCGCGCTGGCTTTGTGCTGGCCAAGGAGATGCAGCCGAGCCAGCTGCCTCTCCTTGCCAACGCAGCTGGTCGGATCCGGCTCCGCCACAGCGGCCGCTCATCGCGAAGCAAGTCTTCGAAGAGCCCCCGCAAGCTCAAGGAGCAGCGCCATCGCCTCGAGGAAGTCCTTAGCAATGCGCCAGCCTTTGTGCGCCAGTCAGCCAACGACATCATTGTCCTCGGCCACGCCTCTGTCATCCACATGGGCCTCGACAAGCGCGCCGGCTCAACCGCTACCATCCAGTTCCGAGTCCCAGACAAGGCGCTCGAGAAAGGCACCGCCGCCTGGCCGGGCTTGCCCAGTGATGACGAGAAGAAGCGCGCGTGGAAGACGTCACTGCAAGCGATGAAGGAGTGGTGGGGGCAGAGCAAGACGCTCTCGGTCGGTACGCTCGTCACGATCTGTGACGATGCCGGGAACTCGTTCACGGGTGTAGTTTGCTTTCTGACGCGGCCACGCGGCGAGTCGCGGTACGACTTTGACCATGAGCGAGCGTGTGGCTACGTGACCATCCGCGGCATCGGGACCAAGGTCGTCCACTCTGATCTATTGGTCGGGGATCTGGTCGCCAACTCGCGGCGCAAGCGGGTTGGCATTGCCGGCATGGACGACCTCATCAAGTACCGCCGCGGCACTCTCACCCTTATCATCTCTGCCGGAGACTCGTTCTTTGCCTACGAGCATGTTCTCAACTCGCTTCAGAGGCTCGGTCGAGACTCGCTGCTCACTCTCGACCTCCGCGACGTGCTCACCCAGTCGCCGCGATCGCGCGGTCCGCGGCTGTCTATCCCAAACTACATCGCGTCGCTCGACAGAATCGATCTCTCGTGGGTTCTCACCGATGCCGAGAAGGAGACCATGGGCGATGCTTACCTTTCTTATGACCCACATGATCCAGCTTGCTTCCCAAGTGCCTCACTCTTGGCCGCGTCGTCGCTCGACGAGGCGCAGGTGGCATGCATCAAGCTCGCGCTCACGACGCGAATGAGCATTATCCAGGGCCCACCTGGAACCGGCAAGACCTACGTTGGCGTGCGAATTGTGCAGCTGCTGCGCGCCATCCTTGATCGGAGCCCTGATGATGTGTCCGGGCCGATTCTCTGTGTCTGCTTCACCAACCATGCGCTCGACCAGTTCCTCGAAGCGCTTCTCGCTGTGGGCATGACCAAGATTGCTCGTGTCGGTGCACGCTCCAAGTCGGAGGCACTGCAGGAGCTCTCACTTCACAACCTCCGGTTGAGGCACAACAACGATCGCGGCAATCGCGACTACGGCAGGGCCATGCGCAAGGCGCTGGATTGTGTCAGGAGCTACGACTTCGATGTGAGCAAGCTCTGCAACGCCGACTTGGACAGCATGGTTGAAGTGCTGTACACCGAGGGCGATGGGCAGAGCCATGGCTCGGTTGACGAGCTCGTCGCTTCGCTTTACAACCTTTCTGCCGGCATGGAGCTGAGCGAGTGGGCGCGGTGCGCAGTGTGGCGGGAGCGCAAGCGCGATGTCGAGGCCCAGATCAAGTTCATCGAGAGTGCAACTATGGCCGACGGACGAGAGCGCAAGAAGAGCCAGCAGGAGCTCGGCCTCCCAGCTATGAGCAAAAACCCGTTTTCGGTACTGGGGGCGAAGGCCCGAGCGCAGGTGGCGGCGCACCGTCGCAGCCATGGCTTGAGGAGCAGGTGGCAGCGGCGCGGGCTGAGCAGGCTGAGCATCTCGCTGCGCTCAAGCGTGAGCGGGCTGATCTCGTGCAGAAGCTGATGTCTAGGGCTGCACCGACTGGCGAGAAAGTGGTGCTTGACGAGCTGACGAGTCGGGACTTGCAGAAGCTGACACAAGCCGAGCGGAACGCGGTGGTGGCAGCGATTCGGGCGCACTTTGCGATGGAGTGGCGTGAGAAGCTGGAGATGTACGAGAAAGGCCACGCCAATGCGCGAAAGGCGATGGAGGAGGTCGAGGCGTCGCGTAATCGTGAGATATTGCTGAACATGCAGGTGATAGGCGCGACAACGTCCGGGATGGCCAAGTACGGGGCTAGTCTCACCGGGATTGCCAAGGTGGTGGTGTGCGAGGAGGCGGCCGAAGTGTCTGAAGCGCACCTCTTTGCGACGTTGTCCAAGGGCGTGGAGCATGTGGTGCTCATCGGTGATCACTTCCAGCTCCGACCCAAGGTCAACAGCTACCAGCTGCAGACCGAATCGGGACGGGGGCATAACTTGGATGTCTCGACGTTTGAGCGGCTGATCTCAGACCCGGACGCGCCGCTGCCGTCGCAGGAGTTGACGGTGCAGTGGCGGATGGCGCCCACCATTGCCGATACCATTCGGCCGCTCTACGAGCAAAACGGGATCAACATCGCCGACGCGGACAGGGTGCACAACTATCCGCCGATGCGTGGGTTCAACACCCGGCTTGCGTTCTTTGACCACTCGTGGCCCGAGGCCGGGGCGCAGAACGGCACGTCGTCGTCCAAGAGCAATCTGGCCGAGGCCCAGATGGTTGTGGCGGTGGCGGGCTTTCTCGCGCGACAGGGCTACGGCCAGAACGAGATCACCATTCTCACGCCGTACGTCGGCCAGCTGCAGGTCATCCGCAGTCAGCTCCAAAAGTCCAAGCTCCGCGTGATCATCTCGGATGCCGACGTCGAAGAGCTGGCGGCGCTGGCCGAGAGTGACGACGACAACGGCGAGGAAGATGACAGTGACGCCGGGAGCTCGAGTAAGAGCAAGGGCAAGAGCGTGACGACAGCCAAGCTCGGCAGCCAGATCCGGGTGGCGTCTGTGGACAACTTTCAGGGCGAGGAGTCAGACGTTGTGCTGGTGTCGCTGGTGCGGAGCAATGCGGGCGGCAACATCGGATTCCTCAAGTGGGCCAATCGGGCCAACGTGCTCCTCTCGCGGGCCAAGCACGGCATGATTCTCTTTGGCTCGGCGTCAACGTTTGAGGCGTCGGGATCTCAGTTTTGGGCACATGATGTGCTGCCGATGCTTGACGAAGCCTCTCTCCTTCATCCTTACCTCGAGCTTGTGTGTCCGAACCATCCCGACAAAGTGCAGCGGGTGGCAAGTGCGAGCGATGTGGCAGCTGCATCACCCGAGGGTGGCTGCAACGAGCTCTGCAAGACGCTGATGGCATGTGGACATGTGTGCCCACTCCGATGCCATGTCCAAGATCGCGAGCACTGGGCGACTCGGTGCCTTGCCCAGTGCCAGCGGGTGCCGCGCGGGTGCCCTGATGGTCATCCATGCCGGAAAAAGTGCTACCAGGAGTGCGGAAAGTGCACCGAGAAGGTGCCGGTGGTAGTCGCCGACTGCCCTGCCAAGCACACGGTGACAGTCCCGTGTCACAAAGCGGCAAGTGGGACGGCCAAGTGCACCAAGAAGGTGAAGATCAAACTCGAGCGCTGTGGACATCTCAAGGCAACAACGTGTCACGCAGCGAACGATCCCGACACTAGGTCGAAGCTGCGCTGCGAGAAAAAGTGCTCTCGAGAGCTGGCCTGTGGTCATGCCTGTATGCGGCCGTGCTCGCTGTGCAGCTCAAAGGCGCCGCAGTTGACGACGATCGGCGCCGTGCACGATGGCGAGTGTGAAGCCAAGTGTGGACGGCTGCTTGGGATGTGCGGGCACTTGTGCCAGGCCAAGTGCCACGGCTCAGAGCCGTGCCCGCCATGTAGCGAGCCTTGCGATGTGGGGTGCGACCATGCGGGAGCGTGCAAGAAGCCGTGCGGCAAGCTGTGTCCGGTTGTATGCGTCGAGCCTTGCCTCGCGCGAACATGTCATCACTTTGGTGAGGAGATGCAGATTTGCGCGCCGTTCCCGTGCTCTGCGCCGTGCCGCATCCCTCGCTGCGACGCGCGATGTGACAAGAAGCTGGTATGTGGCCATCGCTGCCCTGGTCTCTGCAGCGAGACTTGCCTCTCGCCCGAGTACTGCCGTGAGTGCATTGTCGGCGCCGGTGACGGATGTGCGCCGGCGGCACACGCAGACGACATGGTGGACATGGTGATGTGCACGTCGCTTGTCGAGCACGACCCGGATGAGTCACCACTCATCCTGCTGTCATGCGGACATGCGCTAACAGTGGAGACGCTCGATGGCATCGTAACCTCTGCAGTCAGCGGACAGGTGAGTGGTGAGGAGACAGCGGCGGCGATGCCCAGGTGCCCACACTGCCGAGCGCGGTCGGTATGCGGGGTTGATCGGTACGCGCGGTACGAGCTCAAGAAGGCGCGGATGACGCAAAAGGACGGGCTTCACTTTCGACAGGCCATGGCGACGCTGTCAAAGAAGTACTGCGCTCTCGTCGACGCCGATCTGTCGACAGCCAAGGCTGCAAAGGTGCGCAAGCAAGTCTCGCAGCTGGTGACCCGGTGCCGTCCGCCGCAGGCCAAGTTGGGGGAGGCGATGGCGCGACTGCGGCACGACGCGGTGCTGAGCGCTGCTGATCAGGCACTTGTGGCTGACATCCAGGAGATGGTCTCCGAGGACTCGCGACTGGTAACCCGCAAGGCACTCCTTGAGTCTATGGTGGGGATGGCGGAGCTGGCGGAGCTGGCGCATGAGGCTAGGAACGTGCAGACAATCCGGGCCAAGCTGCAGAAGTCAGCGGCAGTGGTAGCAGCGCCATCGCGTGCAGGAGCATCAGGACGTGGCGATTGGGCTGGGATTGTGGCCGATCTAGAGACAGTGGTCGACGGTGAGGTCGTTGAGGTGGAGCTTGACTCGGCGGTGGGTCGGATGATTGGAAACGCGCTGACATCGTGCGGGATGAGTGCGGAGGCAGTGGTGCGGATCGACTCTGTCCATGGCCAAGAGGTATTTGATAACGGACGCAAAAACCTCTTGGCGGCGCTGACGAAGCGGCATCGGTCCAAGTACAGGGGCAAGGGCAAGGGCAAGGCGGCTGCTGCGAAAAAAGCCGCGGAGAAGGTGATAGCAACCCGAGCGTACTTTCATGGGACGAGTCAAGAGGCCGTGCGCAATATCGTGGACGAGGGCAACGATGCGCGGCTGGGGCGCGGTGGCACCTTTGGTCGGGGCATCTACACCACGCCCGATCCACGCAAAGCCATTTCCTACTCGAAAGGCAGTGGGTTGCTCCTCGTGGTTGCTGCGCACTGCGGCACCGAGTATTTAGCTCCTGGGCCGCAAAGGTTCGATCGCCCGCCCAAGAATCATGACTACGTCCATGGGCGGATTAGGGATGGTGCGGCGTCAGAGATTGTTTTCTACGACAACGGCTACGTGACGCCGATGTACCTGGTGAAGGTCGGCGGAACGGATCAGGTCGGGTTTTCGACGAGCGTGACGACACCGGCTGTGGATACGATGGTGGCAGAGCTTGTGGCGAGGACTAGTGTGGCTCGCCGCAAGCACGATTCAAATGCTGCGCAAGTCGAGGCGTTTTTCAAGTCCGAGGCCGACCCTGTGGCAAGCGCCGAGCAGCGGGCGGCGGCCATGGTAGGTGAGGTGGACAACTGCGTGCGGCGAGTGCTTGAGGAGGCGATGGCGGTGTGGGCGGATTGTGGAGCAAGTCTCAAGACCGAGGTTGCGCTGCATCTCGGCCGAGTGGTGCTTGGATGCATGGCGGGTGTGCAGAGTGCGCGGCCAAGTGGCGAACAGATCCATCTTTGGCCGGAGATGGAAGAGGCGGTTGCGGATGTGCTAGAAGCCTTGAGCAAGACAACGGATGCGGCAGCGCGCGAGTCGGCGGCGGTGATGGAGAGCAGCATTACGCGGATGGCTGCGGCGTTGAAGGATGGGATCTTCTTTCAGCCGCTCAGCGATGCGGAGAAGGAGAGCGTCAGGACGGCCTTGGCAACGCTCAGCGCGAAAGGCGGGTGGAACAGCCAGGGCCACTTTTTCAAGTGTCCGAACGGCCACATCTACGTCATCACCGAGTGCGGCGGAGCAATGGTGCAGGGAGCATGCAACGAGTGTGGCGCAACCATTGGTGGAGCATCGCATCGGCTGCGTGGAGACAATGCTGTTGCGTCGCTTGACGATCTGTAAACAACTCGTGTCTGTTGGGGAAGGGGAGGGGG